CCTATCTCCTCAATTAAAAATCCAGTTATATATCAAACTGTCATAAAAAACCTGGGATTAACAAAATGTGTGCCAAACCTAAACTACTCATATTACGTTTTTCTTGTATCATCTTTGATACACCTCTACCCCGATATAATGCGACCAGATATAACACGAATTTGGATATAACACGGTAAAGCAGTGCTCCGGGAGGGGGGGCTGCGCACTCCGGCGGATCAAAGCAAGTTCGATATAACGCGGTAAGATTTTTTGGCTCCGGAGGACAGCATTATATCGGGGTAGAGGTGTTTTTGTCTAACTAAGATTTTGGGGGCAAGGATCATCTTCGTTCATAAAGCACCAAGAGCTAGTGTCACTATATAAATTACTAAGCCAAGACACCTGATTGCTGTGCACAGTCTCTCATACCAATTGGTGACAATTTGTTTAGGAAAGTAATTTTAAAAGCAAAGTATTTACAATCAATTACTTATATGCTTATTTAAGTAATTATATAGCTCGATTTACACATATTGTGATTCTTAATTTTTACATTATGTTAAAAATGTTGAATGATATTTCTTATTTAATAAGTTATAATAGATACATTTTTACTTGTGATTTGAGTCAAACTGCTTGGATGGCAAATCAAATTCAATTTAAAAAGGGCAAAAACAGCAAGCACAAACTTTTAAAAATTAAATACAACTACCTTAAACATTCTGGAAACATAAGAAAAAAAAGTTTATCAAAAAGCTCATCAAAACATGTTTTCCATTTAAAACTAACTGATTTATTAAAACAAGAAAAGTATTATTTGCAGTTGATGAACTGAACTGATTGTTTCTGGGCATTGTCTTCCAAGACTTCAGAACTTCTAAATCTAATCCTCTCAACAAGCTTTCCTGCTTTTTCTAACTCCCAATTTAAGACTGAACTTCTCATTGAACTGAACTAGTTTAATAAACTCAACTGAAAAGAAATTCCATCTGCACCTGAAGTAGAGGCTACTGCTGTCAAAAGCTGATTTAGCACTTCAACAAATTTTGGTTCCAGGTGACTACCACCAGGTCAGAGATTTAACTTTCTTTAAAGCATGGCAGCAAACATATACTAAATACTTTTTGAGTTTAATTTAAATGTTTTCATTAGATTATAAGCGGGGCTTAAATTCTCAGAGTATCTCCCAGCCCCGCAACATCCTATCAAAACCTCTAGAGGGGTTGAAAATATTTACCAGAGCTCTGCTCTGGACAGCTCTGGCAGAATTTAAGCCCTGATTATAAGTGCAAGTCTTAACATAAGTTGTCAATTTCAAATAGGTTTATTTAAAAATAAACTGCATTTAATTTAAATAAAAAAATCTGAATTTTAATTTCTTTTAAAATCTCCGATTTTCATCCACCCTGTACACACAAATCATACTTGGCTAGTAACCATGGCAGCTAACCACACGTCACCCTTGCCATCAGTTTAGGATACCACATGGTTGTCTTCCTGGAAAAAGGTCATAACTAGGGCTCTGTGTCCATCATGGAGGTCGTGGAAGTCACGGATTCCATGACTTCTTGCGACCTCTGTGACTAATACAGCGGTCAGTGTTGCTGACCCCAGGGCCACCAAAGCAGCTGGCCCTGGAGCCAGATGCTCAGGCGGCCCTGGGGACAGCTACACTGGCTGCTGCTAGAGCAGCTCTGTAGCCAGTCGCTTGGACGGTCTCACAGCGAACCGCACTGGCCACTGCTCTGGCGGCCCCAGGGACTGCTCAAGCAGCTGCCAATGAGGCTGGCCCTGGGGCTTCCCCTCACCTGCAGCGGCCAGAGGAGCGGGGTGGGCCCCCCGGGGCTCCCTCCTCTGTGCCCCCACAGCAGGCCCTCAGCTTTTCCCTGCAGCACCCCTCCCCCCCCAAGATTCAATCATGAGTATTTTTCGTAAAAGTCACGGACAGGTTATGGGGCCATGATTTTTTGGTTTTTTGCCCATGACCTGTCCATGACTTTTACGAAAAATACTCATGATTAAATTGTAGCCTTAGTCATAACACTTATCTTACTATGTAGATAGACCCACCAGCCAACATATCTCCGTCTCTGTCACTCTCCAAGATTTATGGGCATCCTCAAATGCATTGCTAATGCCACTCTTCATAGGAACTGCTGGCCAATTTGCCCAGAATTACTGATAAACACAATTAGGCAGCATGTGAATGCACACATCCAGTTGCTCCAAGGTTCTGTTGTATGAAAATGGTTTACCTGGGGGCAGATTAACTGAGGATTCAAGGAGAGCTGAATTTCTTTCATAATGACTCTACAATAAAAAAATTTTGGGATCCGTAAACAGTGTAACACGAAGTGACGTGTATACCAAGGCTGCATTATTAAGACCAAGACATATGCTACATTACTTCTACAAGTCTGTTGCTTGCCTATGATTACATTTCAACCTAGACAGCTACATTCCAAGTATTTTTCTACTCAGCTGAAATAGAGCGCATCAAAACTAGTGAGAGCTTACGTAATTTTACCTTTAAAAAAACCTGAATCAAAACAAAGTTCAGCCAATTTCAACAGTAATACTAGAAAGATTACATTTTCATTCTCCAAAAATGTGTCACTTTTAGCAATTTTTGTTCTGAACAGTAAGATAAGAACATGATACTCTGTTTTATTGAAATGTCCATTAGTTGACAAAGTACTGAGCCAGTGTCAGATTCAGCCCGAGTCTGCTGGAAGTCTAAAAACTCAACTTGTTTCAACTAAATCTAGCCAAATTTTTGGACACCACCCCGTAAATAGTCACCTACTGACAAATGTAGCCAGTGCCTGTCCTCAGAGAAAGCTGGAACTCCCTATGTGTCCTGACACATGCCCTCAAAATGCTGAATCCATCATTGTCAGAAGCTACTCAGAGCCACAGATATGGGTTTTGAAAGATTTTTGTGCCAAGCTAAGTCCGGATCTAAATTTTTCAGGTGGAGCATCAGCTACTCAAAGACTCAATTTTGAGAAGTCAAAGGATGCTCTGAAAATTTTGATCGTAACCGTCTTTGCAGCTGGTACAAATTATGGATTCAGAATTGAAGCTTGAAAAGCAGCTGGTGAATGAGTTTTGAAAATGTTTTAGGAATTTTGGAATCTAGATTTTTCCAGATCATTGTTACTGACTACATTTGATGAGTTTAGATGGTATGATTTTGAAGTCTACGGACAAAAATTGGTTGGCATTACAAATATCCAGCTTTTTTCTACACCCTTTGTTGGAAACCTAAAGACCGACAAAATGCATGAACTGAGTTCTGCCTTCAACAGCACCAAGATATGGAGTAGGTCTAAAAACAATAAAACTTTGAGGGGGTTTTTCTTGGCAAAAAGGGATACAATTTTTCATGGAAGTTATCACAAGATAATTTGTCCTTCAACCAGCTCTACAGTGACAGTTTTGGAAGAACACAGAGGGATAGTGTTACATTTTTACATTGGCTAATACTTATAATTTAAGTAAATGAAACCTGTTTTAAGCAACTACTCAAGGAACAAGCATAACTGTCAGTTGCCTCAAGTAAGTCCCTCACAGCTTCACATTGGAGGAATGTCCCTTAAAACAGGAAGCTGGTCAAAAAACCTTACTCTATATTTTACAATACAAACTGGTAAACTAATCCAGTGGTTTTCAAACTGTGGTCCACAGATCCCACAAGGTCCGCAGACTATGTCGAAGGGTCTGCAAAAGGCAGCCGTTACCATAGAATGATGATTTTTCAAACTGGGGTCTGCAGACTATGTGTAAAATTTCCAAAGGGGTCCGCACCTCCATTTGAAAATTTTTAGGGGTCCACAAATGACTAATGGTTGAAAACCACTGCACTAATCTGGATTATTCTGTTAACTGGAACATGAGGTAGTGGTTACAACACACAAGGAAGCCATCACTCCTAGGCTTTACTTTTGGCTCTGCAACTCACTTACTGTAAATCATGTGATGACTTTGTGCAAATCACTTAACTTCCGTGCCTCAGTTTCCCTAACTGTGAAATAGCAAAAGCATTTACCTACCAGGGATGTGAACAGACTTAATAAAGCAACTTTCGGGAAATATTTAAACTGCAGAAACGTCCACCCTGTGCACTTTACCCACAGCCAGGCAGACAGCCCCTCCTATGCCGTGGGGGGTTGGGGGAAGGAACCTCCAGGCAATGTAAGCAGAGAGTTAACTCCGTTATTTACACAAGTAGATCCCGATCCAGCAAAGGGGTTTGCAAGGGGCAGGCCCCTCCCCTCCCTTAACCCCTAACACCACCTGCGTCCCCACTCTCCAACTGACCCGCCCACTTAACTGCCTCCTCCTCCGCTCCCCCCAATCCATCCGCTACAGGCAACCGCCCGCTCTGGCCCCGCCCCAACCGCCGCACCCCCAGCGCCCCCGATCCGCCATGCCCCTGCCCGCGTTCCCTGTGCCCACCCCCCTCCCCATGGCCAGACCACAGCAGCCCATTGCCCTAGCCTCACTCACCGCCACCGGCCGCGGCCTCACTCACCTGTCGGCGCTGAGGGTCCAAGCCCTGGGACGAAGAAAGAAAGCGGCGGGAGCCGGAAAGCGAAGCAATAACACGGCCCCCCACAGGCTTCCCTCCCTACGCTCCGCCCCCAAGCACGCCCGTCTACCGCTCCGCCCCCAAACGGGCGCAACAGCGCATGCGCGAGACACGCCCCCGCTGACAGCCATGACATTCTCGAACGGGGATGTTCGTTTCGTCCAGGGGCGGCTGAGGCCACGTGATCCCAATTCCCCCCCCCCCCCCTCCTACTTTGCTCCCGCAGAGACGCTGCTTTAGTCCCGCCCGCTACACTTCCCTGTAAGGAATGGGGGGAAGAGCGGAGAACTCAGCGGGCGGAACGGAAAGAGCGAGGTCATGTGTCCTACTCGGACGCTACCGGGTACTGACCGCAGCCTGTCGACACAGGAGCCCCGGTCCCGTATGACCCGGACATTGTTGCAGACGGACCGCTTCCGGTCGGGCGCTCTTACTAGGTTCCCCAGGATGCAGGCGGGTCGGGCCAAGCACGGGGTGGTGCATCATGGCGGCAGCGGTTATTATCCTGAGACCTTTGCGCCGAGGCGCCGCCTGGGTGGGGAAGCGGCTCCTGCCCGAGGCTGGAGGCGTGAGACGCGGCTGGTGGCGGCAGGCGCAGGTGGGGCAGGCGGCAGAAGTGGACACTGAGCCCCGCGTCGGAGACGCGCTCTGGGGACCCTTTCCCGCCCCTCTCCGCCGGGACAGTCACAGGCCAACGCCCCGGCCAGGCCGCTGCCCCAGCCTGTCAGGCCCGCCGGAGAGAGACCGTCCCTGCCGGAGCGGGGATTCTTTCAGGGGCTCTTCTCCCTGCGATCGAAGCCTCCTATCCACCGCTCCCGGCCCATCCCTTGCAGGAGCCCCCCACGCCCCTTCCCGGTGTAAACCTGCGGTCTGCAGGGCTGGGCGCACTCGGGTCTCGCACCCTCTTTCATCTCCCTGCTTGGGTGGAGGGGGCCGGGCCGAGCTGCCATTGATCCCTGTCCAGTCACTTCTAGAAAGTGCAGGTCAAGTCAAGACCTAGTTAGCCACAGGGCTGAAGACAAACATGAACAGGTATCCCCTTCCTCAAACACTGCTAACTATAGCACCGCAACATGTCAGGCCCGCCTGGTGCCCAGACGCTGCCCTTACTAGTATCAGCCCAAAACACAGTGGCAGAGCTCATGGTTAGAGCAATGTCTGATGTGACCTACTTCTAGAGGAGTCAGATGCCTTCTGTCCACACAGACAGTCCCAAACAAGTTACACATTGCTTGTCTTTTCTGAGCTGTACTACACTTGGTTCCTGGTCCACTATGGGTTGGCAATGACTGTCTTCTTGATGCCCTCGTTTACACTGATTGAAGCTTTTACTTTTAGTGTCATAGCAACTGGGGAAAATAATCTGCTTCCTCGTCACTGTTTAAGGTTTCATTTTTTCATGTATCAGAGGGCTAGCCATGTTAGTCTGGATCTGTAAAAAGTGACAAAATCCTGTGGCACCTTATAGACTTAGGGTACGCCTTCACTACCCACTGGATTGGTGGGTAGTAATCTATCTATCGGGGATCAATTTATCGTGTCTCATCTAGACGCGCTAAATCGATCCCTGAACGCACTCCCCGTTGACTCCAGAACTCCACCAGAGCAAGAGGCGGAAGCGGAGTCGATGGGGGAGCCGCGGCCGTCGATCCCGCGCCGTGAGGACCCGAGCTAAATTGATCTAAGATACATCAACTTCAGCTACGTTATTCTTGTAGCTGAAGTTGCGTATCTTAGATCGACCCCCCTCCCCCCCCCCTCAGTGTAGACCAGCCCTAACAAACGTATTGGAGCATAAGCTTTTGTTGGGTGAATACCCACTTCGTCAGATGCAGTGGGTATTCACCCACGAAAGCTTATTGTCTGTTAGTCTATAAGGTGCCACAGGACTCTGTCATTTTTTCACGTGTGGCAATTGAATGCTAAATTGAGCCACGTAGAAAGGAATATGAAGAAATAAATAGGAATTATTGGTGACGGATGATATTCTCGCTTCTAAAATAGCTGGGTTTATGATCTACAAAAGTAATAATGTTTTAAGGGTTGCATGACTTAGGCCATGTCTACACTATAAAATTAAGTCAACCTAACTTACATTGGCCTACAGCAGCCGTTGTAATTACATCGCTTGTGCATGTCTGCGCTTCATTCCTTGCATCAACAGTGCGCATCCTAACCAGGAACACTTGTATCGATTGTACTGTCAATGTGGGGCAGTGTGGGATAGCTCCTGAAAGCCAGTAACAGTTGACATAAGCAACACAGTGTCTACACTGACACTGAATTGGCCTAACTACATCGACCTTGACTCTATGATACTTGTGGAGGTGGAGTTATTAAGACAATATAGCGGGGCAGTTAGGTTGGCAGGAGCGAAATTTAGGTGTAGACACTTTCACGGTTAGGTTAACGTAAGATGCCTTGCATTGACCTAACTCTAGTGTAGACCAGGCCTTGGATGTGTATGCTTGTTGTAGCATAAATGGCATGTCAAGTTCTCAACACTTAAATCAGTATTTCTGGTTTTGGTGTCTTAAAACACACAAACCATGACATTCTCAATTACAAGTCTGTTAATGAGCAGGTATTTGATTTAGCAAAGTGACAAAATTAGCAAAGACAGTCTGAATACAATTTGAGCATCAAATCAGTTAAGAGATGAAGAGATCTTTCCAAGTCAATTATATTTGTGGGTTTCAGGCAAAAGTTTAGGTTACCTGCAAAGTTTTCAATTACACTTGAAGCAGGAGGAAAATAACTCATAGTTTGACTCAGCCTTTATCATTAGGAAATTAAAACATGACACTCTTTGACTTTTTTTCTAAGTTGCTTACTCATCAGAGCATATTTTAATTCAGTTTTTACCAAACAACTTCTGTATTCTTGCTTATTGTTTTGTCTTGTATTCTTTGCACAATTAAACATAGTTACTTTTGTTTTGTAGTTCTTTCTTCATGTTAATAGTACTAGGTTCATGTTCCAAAGTATAATAATGAATCAATTCCCAAAGCCCAGTTTCCTGTTTGCACAGTAAAAAATGAAACCTTGAAGTGTTCCTATTATTGTTATTCTGTAACTTCTGAGAGCCTCTTGGACACATAAGATTGGAATGTAATCCAGAGAGCTGCAGAGCAGCTTTGTCAAATCTTATAGCAGATTATAAACTTACTTTATTTTTCTTTTCAGGTGTTTGGAAAATTAACTCTTTTCGGAAGAGGGCTTGCACTCTCAGCAGTGTCTTACTTGGGTTATGAAGCTTACAACTCTATTTCTCACTCTGCTGTGGTTCATGCTAGTGTCAAAGGTAAAGCTCTATGAATTCAAATGTCCTGAGGTCATTCAGATGAAGACTTGGCGCTTCTTTACAGTACCAAAACTTTGTGAGAAGCGTTTTATGTAAGGCTTTCCAATATCTCCACTATAGGCTATTTTTATATAATCTGTTCAACTGTAGGCTACCTTTGAACTAAATAAACAGTGAAGTTCTTGTTTAGCATGGCTCACTTCTCAGAAATATCACTAGGAATGTAGCCAAAACTTTGCTGTGTGGGTAAAATAAGCTTGTGACACAGATGCTGTTCCTTTGAAGTCTTTGTTGGGAGGTAAGGTTGAATTTGGGATTCAGAATAGAGCTATTAATCTTTGATTCAACTGTAGAATTAGAATTTTGGTACTAGTGGAAATCCACATCATAGCAGCATTGGGCTCATGATTTTAGCTAGAAATGGAGCAAAATGTCTTGGTCTGAAATGTAAGTGCTGGAATCTTTGGAAATATAGTAAAATATCAAAGATTCAGTCTAAAGCCTTGTTTTAAGTAGTCTTTACATGTATTATTCTGATCAAAATTAAATCAGTACAATGCTAGCTCTCTAAATGCTTCCCAGGCTGCTGAATTTCTTGGAAATGTTATACATTTTTTTTCTAAATAAGCTCCAAATGAGGATTCTTGCAGAAGAAAAAAACATTGTACTCACTGCAGTAGAAACAATGATCCTCTGTCTTCATACTCCTTTGTCTTCTCCCAGGTATTGAGGTGAGCGTTTTGCCTAAGTGCTGTGACCTTTAGTGCAGTGTTTTCAACCTTTTTGATATCAGGGGCCGGCTTGCTGCCTTCCTAAACTGTCAGGGAGATCTCAGGGACCGGCACTGGTCCACGGACTGGTTGTTGATTAGGTAGATTCCACTCTTCAGAGCTTCATTTTCCACAAGGTTTTAGAAATAACTAGAAATATTGGGCATATCTTGATTTTTGCCTCCATTTAAGCTATATTTAAGTTAGGCTTCACTCTTTTAATAATTACAGAGCACTGGACTGAAAAAAGTAGCTGTACAAATCTTGCCACTTGATGTCATTTTTAAAGACTATTATAGCTCTGAGCACATTATAAAAGAACCTACTGACAACTTTCTGTACACAATTAAAGCAAAGCAGGAAAAATCAAGTGACCAGAGCCCTTAGGGCAAGTTAGCAGACACCAAGCCAGATTAGAACTGCTCAAAATTCATGAGGGAATACAAGATGGTGTTTAACAGAGGGAAGAAAAACGTTTTAGAAAAGATTTGACTTGACAGCATCGCTTTTGAAATTTCAATCAACATATTAAATCGGATAAGCATCTACCGACAGCTGTGGAGATGAATAGAAAGTTTCCAGCAAACCTAAAATAATTAGTCAATTACTTCAGTAGTACTGAACTGAATGGTGAATATTGAAAATAGTGGAATTTGAGAGAAAAATGTCATCACTGTCAGAGAGCCTAATGGAAACCTGAAGCTTGTGGAGAAACAACTTGAAACCATGGAAAACGTGTCGATTTTCAAACTTGCATGCTTAAGATTGCTTTTGGCCTTGAGGCCCTCTTCATTATTATATTTATACCTAAAATACTGAACTTAGATATTCTTTATATGTGGTGAAAATGTCATTGAATTCTGAAGAGACAGTGGCAAGAGAGCAACAGCTAAAGGAACAATAGCTGTATTAAGGGGCCCATGTTACTAGAAGAGGAATCAGAAGGCTGGCTGAACCAAGCCATTTCTTATAAGAGAAATCAAAACATTTCCCTTAGGTGTTACCCCAGGGCTACCCAAGGACAATTAAATTAATATTGTCAAAAATAAACTTTTGCCCAAGAAAGGCAAAATCTGCAGTACTTTAATAGGTCATGGTCTAGCTCTTTTGTAAGGGTAAGGCAAGTTCTGAGATACTGAGAGCATCTCAGTACTTTGAAATAAGTAAAGAGTCTAGTTAACTCAGTCATAATTCCTGACTGCGTTTTAGTTTGTCAAGTCTGTGCTGCATCTGATTCATATTTTATAGAAATAATCTTGTTCTGTGAACTTCTAACAGTCAAAATTAAGGAGCCAAAATGTTGTATTTATATCACATGACTAGCCATTTTATTCTCCATCTCTCTACAAATTAGGCACAGTAAATTATCATGTGAATATTAATATGCAATAAGAGAAATAAATTTGAAAATATTATTTGATAGCAAAAAAAAGCAATGACAAGCTATCAGTGTGTTGTAAAATCCACACAACAGCAAATAGCATTGTAAGGCCTACCTCCTTTGACTTTCTGTTTTAGAAACTAATACATGATTGAAAAACAAACAAGCATACATTATTAATACCAAGTAAGTATTTCTGTGTTACTTAAATGCATTTTTATTTTATTAAATATTCTCTGTAAAGTATTTTATTACTGCTGTAGAATCCAACTTCTCCCATCAGAGGGGAAACTAATTTAACTCAAATTATTCACAGAAATGTGCTTATATCCCTATAAAAACTCTTGAACAAAAGTCAGTAATCTTACGCTATGTTAGCTTATGCCTTCCTTTATTAATAAAAAGTACAAACAATATTTACCAATGGTCAAGAAAGAAACAGAAGAAATGTTATTTTTAAGCATCTAATAAGGGCAGTGCAAACATTGGAAGAATGAAAATAAGCCCTGAAGTTTTTGACAGTGTCTCCTTAAATGAATATTTTTAGATTTACCCATCACATGTCGTCAATGAAAGATGTTGGAGAGGATGCTCACCACACAATTTAGTTCATAGCTAGGTCTGAGGTTTGACAGAGTAGATTCTTGACAGCCTTTCTCTCACAGAAAAAAAATTAGAAAAATTGTATAAGTGAAAATTCAAAACTCTTCAAAGAGATGAACACCAATGGATCAAATAATAGGATATTCACATAAAAATTGAAAATAAGGAAATGGACATTTAAGTACTAGACAAGAACATAGGCAATTAGCCTTTGAAAAGCCAAAAAATTAATTTCATAAAGCACATGTATGAATGGAGGTAAAAACAGAAAAGTGCCTCAGTATGTACATTAAGAGCATTACTCAAGCTATAAATAGAAGCTATGGGATAGATAAATCTGGGAAATTAATAATGGATCCAGATTAAGATACTTAATTATTTTATCAATTGCTATGGCCATCTGAATCCCAGGTACCTATAACAGAAATAAAAGCATGTAACTAAGAAACCTACCTACACTTTACATAGACAAATTGGAGCTGGGGTGGGATTGGGGGAAACGAAGTCTCCAAAGCTATATAACATCTTCACTCGAGGAAAGCACCTGGAGTGAGTGGTTTTGCACCAAAATATTGTGCGTTCTAGACCCAAATGACGCATTTACTTATGAAAGTATTCAACTACAAAATTGAAAAAGAAAAATCTCCAGTTTAATTTAAGTACAGGCTGACTGTCTTTCAAACCAAATCAAGATTCAGTAAAGGCTTGACTCTTGTAGATCACGCGCCTCATGTTAAAACAGGATTATAAAACTTTCATAAACACTGCAGTTTTAAGGATTGAGAAAGTAATTGTGGCTACTCCTGTAAAACACAAATGCTTAACTTTGAGTATTTTCATCAACTTCAATAGATTATTCATATCTTAAAGTTATACATCTATGCAAATATTTTTGTTAGAATCAAAGGGCCTAAATTTGTATATTTGGATCGGAAGAGGCTTTGTCACATGGAAGACTTTAGTAGAATAATAAGCATAATTGAAGAGTTAAGAAGAAGAAAGCTAGGTAGTCTAGATACTGGGAAGGCCTTTGTCCAGGGTGAAGTTTCCTTCTAGCAACAATTTAAAAACCCAACAATGGTTGGATGTGGTCATTCTTTAAAAAAATGATTAAATCAAAATATAACAAACCTATGACAAAAATAGGATTATCAGATGGAATGCCTTGTTTTTAATTGGGAAGAGGAACCTAGGCAAGATGCTCACATTCTTTTATGTCTTTTATTTATGATCATGGTAGAACCCTTCAACCATATTTGGTATATCAATTTGTGGAACACAACTATGTTTTATTCACATAGTTACTGTGTGGTGTGAATGAGTCTTATCCCACCATTTCCATTATCAGAAATTTAAACTTTGGAAGGTTATGATACAGAATTAATATGGGGGAAAAGCAAAATGTTAAACTTATTATTTGGGATAGCAACAACCTTGAAGAGAAAACACAAATTAAAATTGTCACCTTTTAAGATATTTAGTAAATATTAAACTCCTTAATATTATGAGTGAAATTGAATTAAACAACTCTGGTAGCCAAAATATGGAAAAAATCCTAGAGAATAGTACAGCTTCTAACTTTCCAGGTTGTAAATGTGGAGGTATGTTCATTTTTAACATATTTATCTTTTTTACTTAAATCCAACCCATGACTCGTTTTGTTCCAGTTTCAAAAACACTAACTTCATGTATTTGCTTGGTGCAGGATGATAAACAATAAGATTGACAGACAAAGACCTATATCTTCATAAATAAGACCTAGGTATTTATTATTATTATATAGAATGGGGGACTTGCAGTTACTGGGAATGCAGGCTGTGCTAAGCCTATTTAGGAACCTACAAAGTAAACCCGGAAGAGCTCTGTGGGGGGAAAAATGTGGTATTAAAAACAAAAATTTATGACACTCTAGTTTTAAAAGCGAGGTGGTTGTGTAACTGCTAAGGGCTTAATTCAGCAAAACTTTGATAAAGTGGCAAGCTGGACTGAAAAGCCCGATTTTGGTTCATTTAATAAAATTTTCTCCAGTTTCATTGTCTGTGGCCTCATGCATGTTACAGTACTACTTTGATTACTACTGTAACTGTGGAGCCCTTATCTCTGATTGCCAGAACCCACAATATTTTATAAAGCATTATATCACTAATGTATCTTAATACTTTTGAATTATTTGTATATGTGCTGCTGGTTATATACAAAATAATGATTTAAGACTGAAAACATAAGTCACCCTGCAACAAATTATGAAGAAAATACATGGAAGGATCAGTCCGATACTAAGTGACCCTTACTGCATTCATCCACTTTACCTTGCTATATTTCAGTCCCTGGCCTACCACACGCTCCGTGTTCTGATCACTTAGGATGTGTCTACACTGTGACTGGACATCCTTGGCTAGCCTGGGTCAACTGATTTGGGCTTGTGAGGCTTGGGCTAAAGAGCTGTTTAATTGCGGTGTAGATGTTCGGGTTCCAGAGCTCAAGCTCCAGCCCGAGCCGAACGTCTACACTTCAATTAAGCAGATCCTTGGCCTGAGCCCAAGTCCGCTGTCCCAGGCAAGCCGTTGGTTTTTAATTGCACTGTAGACAAATCCTTATTCATCACCAAAAACTAAACCAAACATTTTCTGTTCTGCCATTGTGAGGTCATCAGACTAACATTCTAAAATCTGTTACACTTCTAACACTGTCTGTTGCTAAGGGCTGTTTTATAGTTTCATAGAATAATATTTTTTTATGTTGTTTCTGTTCCCAGAAGTTGTTCATGGAAAATAAACAAAGTTGGTACAATTCTGTATCCCATGGCTGCTAAAAGTTAGTATAGTATAGATAGCCAATTTGAAATTGGAAACACTTGATATTTGTTAGGAAATAGTTGTTTGACCCCGTCTTAGTGCTGATTTTTTGTTTGCTGATTTTTTGTGTTTCAGGGTACTTTGGCTAGCAGCCTGTTAGATTGTTGTACTTTGAAATATTGTTGCTGATCTGGTAGGCTATCGTATTTATTAATCTTTTTGTCTTCTCTTTCCACCATCCGTACCCCTTTTGAAGTTGAGGAAATCATAGAGCAAGCAGACTACCTATATGGGAGTGGAGAAACCAAACAGCTCTATCAGTTGCTGACCCAGCACAAAAACAGGTATTTCACTGTATTGAATATCCCCACATGAAGCGCTCCTTTATCAGTTCATGTTAACTAATACAGTAAATATGATAGCACTGAGCACCCAGCTTGCACCTTTTTGCAGTAAGAGAGAAAATCTCCTGAATTTTCTTCCCTTTCAATGTAGAAGGAAGGACCTGGTTCATAGTCGGGCTCAGTTTGGGCAGCAGAGGGTTGGCACTCTGATAGCTTTTTCATTGGCACAGGGCCCCTGAGAATAATGTTCTTATAAGAAAGTTGATGGGCACTCCTCCTGCTTTCCCTAGTATATGTTAGAAGGTTAAATACAGACTCTAGTGTGCAAGTATTCTAGTAGAGATGTGGGACAGAGCAGTAGTATTGCTTCATCCTAATCCCCTAGCAAGTGAATGGCAGCTCTGTGGGCTTGGAAGAGGCGGGGGGTGTCACTGTGTTACAGAGCTGACAATGTGTTTGCTACTGTACAAAACACACCTGCTGGCCATAGGCAAATAGAAATTTTGCCAGCATGAGTGGACTGAGTCGGTTCTGACTCCTTTGCTAGAGGGGAGGGAGAAAGAAGAGAACAGAGCGGTTCAAGTGTCCCAGTTCCTGTAACAGAAGTACAGGGAACAGAGCAGACTTTGAACCTCTTGCTCTTTTTCAGTAAGAGAAGGAGGTGCTAGAAAGCAGAGTGGTAGGACCATCCGTTCTTTTGTGCTAGGGGTGAAGGAGGAGCAGAGAGGCTTGGACCTGAGAGGAGAGGGAGCAGAGTGGCCCATAGGGAGAAAGGAGTCACGTAAAGAAAAGGGGTGGGTGGGAGGGAGAAGATTTCGCTAATGGGGGAGAGGGGGACACTTAGGGCACGTCTTCACTACCCGCCGAATCGGCGGGTAGCAATCGATCTATTGGGGATCAACTTATCGCGTCTAGTGAAGACGCGATAAAATCGATCCCTGATCGCTCTGCCGTCGACTCCGGAAATCCACCGCAGCAAGAGGCGGAAGCGGAGTCGACGGCGGAGCGGCAGCGGTCGACTCGCCGCCGTCCTCACAGCCAGGTAAGTCGACCTAAAATACGCAACTTCAGCTACGCTATTCACGTAGCTGAAGTTGCGTATCTTAGGTCGACCCCCCCCCGTAGTGTAGACCTAGCCTTAGAATTCACTAATGGAAGCTAGAGGAGTGGGAAAAGACAACCAGTACACCTCTACCGCGATATAACGCGACCCGATATAACACGAATTCGGATATAACGCAGTAAAGCAGCGCTCTGGGGGGTGGGGCTGCGCACTCCGGCAGATCAAACCAAGTTCAATATAACATGGTTTCACCTATAACGCAGTAAGATTTTTTGGCTCCCGCGGGCAGCGTTATATCAAGGTAGAGGTGTATTTATGTATTATTAAATCAGGGAAAGAGCCCACACCTCATGTATTGAGGCAAAAATTCTCCCAACTCTAGGAGCATTCCTGCTCTTTTTCACAGTACTGCTCAGCAGCTCTTTTCTTCTTACTTTTATTTCGCTTCTGCCAAGGAAGGGGTTCTTGACCACAGAGAGTATTACTCCTGCCCATATGACTTAGTTGGACAAAAAGAAAAAAAAAACATTGTGCAGACTGGGACAGGACCATGTAAAGGAAAAAGCAGATTACCCTCTGAGGTTTTTCTTTAGAATGCCCTCCTTCAGGGGAAGGGGTGGCTGGCTGGCCGGCCATCTTTTTCTTGTGGATTAGATGTACCCCGGGGCTTTATGGAGGAAACTTGAGAGCTGGGCTGGGTTGTTTCCACCCCATCAGAAGGGGAAAGGAGTGGTCCCAGAGAAACACCAAGTCATAAGGAAGCTGAAAATTCCCTTAGGAGGAGGCACGTAGGCACAAAAATTATAGGAACAGCTTGGAGACTGAGTCACTTAGTTCTATGCTAGGTCAGTACCTAGAGCAGAACTATCCAGTAAACAGATTAGTAATGCCATATTTAATACCTTGCCCGAAAAACATTTTGTATTGAGGTTCTAAACTTAACTATCATTTGTTTGACAATGTGTTAGAAACTGCCTGTTTTTTGACACCCAGCATTCCTATTTCTAGATTCAGCTTCTCTACCCACAGTCTCACAATAATCGCTGACTTTTGAAACGTTCATAAATTGTTATTTAATCTTAGAGTTCAAAATACAAAACTTTAGGCAGCATATCAGAACAGAGGAATTGTATTTAACTAACTCATTGATTAGAGATCTGCCATCTTTGTAAAATGCAGTGAATACCAATGGCACAATAAAAATCTGTGTATATGCAGTCAGCTGACATAGTAACTCAGGGTATGTCTACACTACGAAATTAGGTCGAATTTATAGAAGCCGGTTTTATAGAAATCAGTTTTATACAGTCGATTGTGTGTGTCCCCACATAAAATGCTCTAAGTGCATTAAGTCGGCGGACTGCGTCCACAGTACCGAGGCTAGCGTCGACTTCCGGAGCGTTGCACTGTGGGTAGCTATCCCACAGTTCCCGCAGTCTCCGCCGCCCATTGGAATTCTGGGTTGAGATCCAATGCCTGATGATGCAAAAACACTGTCGCGGGGGGTTCTGGGTACATGTCGTCAGGCCCCTCCCCCTCCGTCAGAGCAATGGCAGACAATCGATTCGCGCCTTTTTACCTGGGTTACCTGTGCAGACAACATACCACGGTAAGCATGGAGCCCGCTCAGCTCACTGTCACCATATGTCATCTGGGTGCCGGCAGACGTCGTATTGCATTGCTACACAGTAGCAGCTAAATTGCCTTTTGGCAGTAGACGGTGCAGTCTGACTGGTAGCTGTCATCGGCTATCTGGGTCCTGGCAGACGTGGGGCTGCATTGCTATACAGCAGCAGCTCCTTGCCTTTTGGCAGTGGATGGTGTATTACGATTGATATCCATCATCATCATATTCCTCAGTGAGTTCGGTCAGAGGCACCTGGGCAGACATATTTTGTCTCCTGGAGACTAAGTCCTGCTGGCAGTCCTATTGAACTGTCTTGACGATGATGGCTAGCAGTCATAATACAGCATTTTCTGCCAAGCACCCAGAAGATGCCGATGGCTATCAGTCATGCTGCACCGTCTGCTGCCAGCTTAAGATGTAAAAAATAGATGGACCAGATTTGTTCTGTATTCATTTGCTTCCCCCTCCCTCCATGAAATCAACGGCCTGCTAAACCCAGGGTTTTGAGTTCAATCTTTGGGGGGGCCATTCTGTGTGACAGTTATTTGTGTTTCTCCCTGATGCACAGCCACCTTTGTTGATTTTAATTCCCTGTAAGCCATGTCGTCACTCGCCCCTCCCTCCCTCCCTCCGTCAGACAATAGTTTCGCGCCTTTTTTCAGCCCAGATGCCATAGCACTGGGATCATGGAGCCCGCTCAGATCACCGCGGCAATTATGAGCACTATGAACACCACGCTCATTGTCCTGGAGTATATGCAGAGCCAGAACATGCCAAAGCAAAACCGGGCGAGGAGGCGATTGCAGTGCGGCGACGAGAGTGATGAGGAAATTGACATGGACATAGACCTGTCACAAAGTACAGGCCCCAGCAATGTGCAAATCATGGTGTTACTGGGGCAGGTTCATGGCATGGAACGCCGATTCTGGGCTCAGGAAACAAGCACAGACTGGTGGGACCGCATCATGTTGCAGGTGTGGGACGATTCCCAGTGGCTGCGAAATTTTCGCATGCGTAAGGGCACTTTCATGGAACTTTGTGACTTGCTTTCCCCTGCCCTGAAGCGCCACAATACCAGGATGAGAGCAGCCCTCACAGTTGAGAAGCGAGTGGCGATAGCCCTGTGGAAGCTTGCAACGCCAGACAGCTACCGGTCAGTCGGGAATCAATTTGGAGTGGGCAAATCTACTGTGGGAGCTGCTGTGATCCAAGTAGCCAACGCAATCAAAGACCTGCTGCTATCAAGGGTAGTGACTCTGGGAAACGTGCAGGTCATAGTGGATGGCTTTGCTGCAATGGGATTCCCAAACTGTGGTGGGGCGATAGACGGAATCCATATCCCTATCTTGTCACCGAAGCACCAAGCCACCGAGTACATAAACCGCAAGGGGTACTTTTCAATGCTGCTGCAAGCCCTGGTGGATCACAAGGGACGTTTCACTAACATCAACGTGGGATGGCTGGGAAAGGTACATCATGCTCGCGTCTTCAGGAACTCTGGTCTGTTTCAAAAGCTGGAGGAAGGGACTTTCTTCCCGGACCAGAAAATAACCGTTGGGGATGTTGAAATGCCTATTGTTATCTTTGGGGACCCAGCCTACCCCTTAATGCCATGGCTTATGAAGCCGTACACAGGCAGCCTGGACAGTAGTCAGGACCTGTTCAACTATAGGCTGAGCAAGTGCCGAATGGTGGTGGAATGTGCATTTGGACGTTTAAAAGCGCATTGGTGCAGTTTACTGACTCGGATAGACCTCAGCGAAGCCAATATTCCAACTGTTGTTGCTGCTTGCTGTGTGCTCCACAATATCTGTGAGAGTAAGGGGGAGACATTTATGGCAGGGTGGGAGGTTGAGGCAAATCGCCTGGCCGCTGATTACGCGCAGCCAGACACCAGGGCGGTTAGAAGAGTACAGCAGGGCACAGTGCGCATCAAAGAAGCTTTGAAAACCAGTTTTGTGACTGGCCAGGCTACGGTGTGAAACTTCTGTTTGTTTCTTCTTGATGAACCCTCCGCCCCCCGCCCCCCGTCCGGTTCACTCTACTTCCCTGTAAACTAACCACCCTCCCCTCCCCCCTTCGAGCACCGCTTGCAGAGGCAATAAAGTCATTGTTATTTCACATTCATGCATTCTTTATTAATTCATCACACAACTAGGGGGATAACTGCCAAGGTAGCCCGGGAGGGGTGGGGGAGGAGGGAAGGAAAAGGACACACTGCAGTTTAAAACTTTAAAACTTTAACACTTATTGAAGGCCAGCCTTCTGATGCTCGGGCAATCATCTGGGGTGGAGTGACTGGGTGGCCGGCGGCCCCCCCACCGCGTTCTTGGGCGTCTGGGTGAGGAGGCTATGGAACTTGGGGAGGAGGGCTGTTGGTTACACAGGGGCTGTAGCGGCGGTCTCTGCTCCTGCTGCCTTTCCTGCAGCTCAACCATACGCTGGAGCATATCAGTTTGATGCTCCAGCAGCCGGAGCATCGACTTTTGCCTTCTGTCAGCAAGCTGACGCCACCTATCCTCTTCAGCCTGCCACTTGCTCTCTTCAGCCCGCCACCTCTCCTCTCGTTCATAGTGTGCTTTTTTGCACTCTGACATTGACTGCCTCCACGCATTCTGCTGTGCTCTGTCAGCGTGGGAGGACATCTGGAGCTCCGAGAACATATCCCGAGTCCGCCGTTTTCTCCTTCTAATCTTCACTAGCCTCTGTGAAGGAGAAACATTTGCAGCTGGTGGAGGAGAAGGGAGAGATGGTTAAAAAAGACACATTTTAGAGAACAATGGGTACACTCTTTCACGTTAAATTTTGCTGTTCACATTACAGAGCACATGTGCTTTCGTTACAAGGTCGCATTTTTCCTCTTATATTGAGGGCCTGCCGGTTTGGTGTAAGAGATCACTCACGCAGTGCCAGGCAACAGATTTCGGCTTGCAGGCAGCCATGGTAAGCCACAGTCTTTTGGCTTTTTTAACCTTCTTAACATGTGGGAATGGTTTCAAACAGTAGCGCCCTCATTTCCCATACCAAGCACCCGTTGGGTTGGCTATTTAAAATGGGTTTGCAATGTAAAAGGAGGGGCTGCGGTTTCCGGGTTAACATGCAGCACAAACCCAACTACCCCCTCCTCCCCAAATTCTCTGGGATGATCACTTCACCCCTCCCCCCCACCCCGTAGCTAACAGCGGGGAACATTTCTGTTCAGCCGAGCAGGAACGGGCACCTCTGAATGTCCCCTTAATAAAATCACCCCGTTTCAGCCAGGTGACCGTGAATGATATCACTCTCCTGAGGATAACAAAGAGAGATAAGGAATGGATGTTGTCTGTATGCCAGCAAACACCGGGACCATACGCTGCCATGCTTTGTTATGCAATGATTCCAGACTACGTGCTACTGGCCTGGCGTGGTAAAGTGTCCTACCATGGCGGACGGGATAAGGCAGGCCTCCCCAGAAACCTTTTGCAAAGGCTTTGGGAGTACATTAAGGAGAGCTTTCTGGAGATGTCTCTGGAGGATTTCCGCTCCGTCCCCATACATGTTAACAGACTTTTCCAGTAGCTGTACTGGCCGCGATTGCCAGGACAAATTAACCATTAATCATTAAACACGCTTGCTTTTAAACCATGTGTAATATTTACAAAGGTACACTCACCAGAGGTCCCTTGTATGCCCTCAGGGTCTGGGAGCATGCCTTGGGTGAGTTCAGGGGTTACGGGTTCCAGGTCCAGGGTGATAAACATATCCTGGCTGTTGGGGAAACCGGTTTCTCCGCTTCCTTGCTGTAAGCTTTCTTCATTGTCTTCATCATCATCTTCCTCGTACCCCGAACCCGCTTCCCTGTTGCGTGATTCTCCATTGATGGAGTCAAAGCACACGGTTGGGGTAGTGGTGGCTGCACCCCCCTAGCATGGCATGCAGCTCCGCGTAGAAGCGGCATGTTTGCGGCTCTGCCCCGGAACTTCTGTTTGCCTCTCTGACTTTGTGGTAGGCTTGCCTTAGCTCCTTAATTTTCACGCGGCACTGCTGTGCGTCCCTGTTATGGCCTCTGTCCTTCATGGCCTTTGAGACTTTTTCTAATATTTTGCCATTTCGTTTACTGCTACGGAGTTCAGCTAGCACTGATAATCTCCCCATATGGCGAGCAGATCCCGTACCTCCCATTCTGTCCATGCTGAGCTCTTTTGTGATCCTGGGACTGCATCATGGTTACCTGTGCTGATGAGCTTTGCGTGGTGACCTGTGCTCGCCACGCTGGGCAAACAGGAAATGAAATTCAAAAGTTCGCGGGGCTTTTCCTGTCTACCTGGTCAGTGCATCTGAGTTGAGAGTGCTGGCCAGAGCGGTCACAATGAAGCACTGTGGGATAGCTCCCGGAGGCCAATAACGTCGAATTCCGTCCACACTACCCCAAATCCGACCCGCAAAGGCCGATTTTAGCGCTAATCCCCTCGTCGGAGGTGGAGTAAAGAAACCGGTTTAAAGGGCCCTTTACGTCGAAAAAAAGGGCTTCGTCGTGTGGACGTGTCCAGGCTTAATTCGATTTAACTCTGCTAAATTTGACCTAAACTCGTAGTGTAGACCAGGCCTTATAAAGCCTTTCTAATGTTTGTCATTTTGCTGTGTTAGAGAGTATTTTTCCCATTTAGTTATTGATAACACCTATAAGGGGAATCATAACTCTCCATACTCAGAGGAGCAACATAGGTGCCAGAATTCTGTTCTTAGATAGTGATTAAGAAATATACAAAAATAAAAGTACACATCTTTTTCTCATTAAAGACATCAACTATACTTTTACATAGTCCCAATTTTGTGTTTCATAAATATGGCTGGCATTCCAGTAAACTATGAAGGTTGCATCAGAGTTGGTTGAATGAGCTGAACAGGACATCTGTCTTGTTCTTAAATTATTGTGTTATTCCTTCTCTTATAAATGGTTTCTTATATTTTCAATCTGTGCTGTTTCCCACCTTTTATATTATCACATGCTCCCATTGTATCCAGTGCTCACTGAAGTTAACTAGGAACCCACTATTAAATGAGCAAGCTCATTGTGAGGTCACATGCTTAGGAAGAGTCTGTCACTGCCTGCAGTGCTGTTCAATTGTAGGGAAATAATGATCGATATGGAGAGTAGCTGAATAAGAACAATAATAGGTATGAAAGGTTACCATGTTTATTACAATGTAATATGACTTCAAAGGTTTCTGGTAGGTGCTTTTTGTGTGTTTAAAATATTTCTTCTGGGTAGTTATCTACTAGGGAGTTGTCAGGAGGTTGACTTGTGGTAGCAGTTACTAAGATAACTCATATGTATAAAAACTGATTTATGTGACATTTGCTCTCACTTTGCTTTTGGCCTCTTTGACGTGTGCAGGTATTAACATCAGGAAATAAGTGTGAATTGTCACTGGGGTTGAAACAGGTTTTTTTCCCCTATAATTTTCTCATTTCTTAAAAATGGTCATATTATGTATTGGGGCGGGGAGAGGCACTTTAGACCTTTGGAAAACTGGGGCTTCAGAGAAGTCAGGAATATGCATAATAATAATCACAACTAGAAAGCGAACAAGAATCACATAATCAGTATGCACTATTATTTGTATAGTATCACCAGTGAACAAGACACTTCACAATAAGTGCACGGTGTCTAACATAATAGAGTTCTCTTCTTCAAGCAATTTATAGTCTAAAGTCACAGCCTGTACAATGCAACACAGCAATGCAAAGTAATGAGTGATACTAAGTTTGGAATGCTTTGTGGAACAGGTTTTTAAGAATTTTTTTAAAGAAAGGGATGAATGGTATGAAGGAGGTGAGGGGACTGTTATAAGAATTTGAGACAGCATGAAAGATAGCACAAAGGCTACAGTGGGTAAAGGAGATGGAGAACAGTTTGAAATGAAGTGCATGGTGAGAGTAGAAGGGGATGGGTGTGCATAAGAAGATATATAGGCAGAGTGGAATTATGGAAGCTTTTGAAAGTATAGCATCTAATTGCAAATCTGATACAAAGAACAGGGGAAGCTAGAGTAGATACTCAAGTAGGTGGGGTAACGTGGTCAGAATGGAGGATAATCTTGACAGCTACGTTTTGGATGGCCTGAGTTAGGAAAAGGGAAGGCCAGCAAGAAACAGGTTATGTTAGGTTTTAAAGATAATTGCACAGATTGTATATTTGTTTATTTAAACCATTAAGTGCATACTACTGTAAATAAAGTGCATATGTTGAATCTGAGTAGTTATACGAAGGGTAAATACTGCTATTCTGAGGGGAGCAGGTTTTAAAGGTTGTATGTGCAGATCATGGGGCCATATAAGTACCAGGCCCTTAGAATAAAAATTTTTAAAAAATCCAAATTTAATTTTCACTCTTTGTATTTGTTGTTTTCACTCTTGGTTTTAGTCAGTTTCACTTGCACAGTGCTGCAATGTTTTGAGTTCTAACCCTGTAGGAAACTGTTTACATGACACAATCTTTCCACTGAAAGTTTTTAACAAAGGACTGAAACATTTTTATTTTGAACTTTTGCAAGTGCTTATATTACAATACCTATAAGATATGCTGCTGAAACCAACTGAATATTGGAAAATATATAGTTTGGGTCAGAAATAAATGTTGCTTTCTTTATTTTCCTTCCTGTCTCTTTAGCTTTAGCTAAATGGTGCTATATGTGAATTTGCATCAATTTAAAAAAAAGAAAAGCTGCTTCTTATGGAGCCAATAGGAGTATTGCTTCACAGATCAAAAGAGTGTTGCCAAAATTTCTTCAGCAAATCCGCTGTGACTGAGATCTCGTATTTGTTGGATTCAGCCTTTCGTTGCATGTGGTATAGAATTACACATAGTACAATATTACGTTAATGCTAAGCTGAGCTGTGTAGTAAGTGATTGATTTAAGACCTGCACTTGCTTTGTAGACAATACAAGTCTTAATCATTAATATTTCTGTTATGTTTATAACTAGTGAGGATGTGGAGATACTATGGCGTCTAGCGCGGGCCTCACGTGATCTAGCCCAACTTAGTAGCACCTCTGCAGAGGAGAAAAAGCAACTGGTTTATGAAGCTCTTGAATATGCAAAGAAGGCACTGGAGAAAAATGAATCAAGTTTTGCAGTACACAAGGTGAGCCATTCAAAGTAATTTAATTGAAATTTTGCTATACATTATCCTGACATCTGGCAGTAGAAACAGGAGTGACTGTGATTCTGCTGTGACCTTTACAGCTGTAAGGTTATCTGGCAAATTTGTATGCTGCTTTCTTCAACGCACAATTTGTTAATTTTTTAGTTGAGACCCAGGAGAATTTGATGGCAGCTTTCTAAGAGGACCAGCACTTGGATTCTTGCAGATTAAATCAAACTCTCATATGCAGAAAATGACTGTTTACAGGACCACAGAGGCAGCTCTGTCTACAGGACCACAGAGGCAGCTGATTGGTCAGAGTTCTTGGTGCCTGAACTATTTCCCCTTTATCAGCCTGGAAAGTGCATCACAGATCCATTCTGTTTCCTCTGTGCCATGGTAGTGACTCTGCTGCAAGTTCCTACGGTTCCTGGGTCTGTCCTCCTTTTCTTCTCCTGTTCCTCTTCTCTCCTCAGTAGCAGCAGACCCAGACCTTAGCAGAGGAGTAACTAAGTACAATCAGTGTTGCTGCCAATGCAAGTTAGTGATAGTGAGGCACTGGCTCCTCCCATGGCTGCGGTCAGCTGTGATGAGGGAAGGTTCCTCGCACCATTTAAATTATCCATTATAATTACAGTTCTCGTAAGCAAACAATAGTGTTAATTAATCAACACTTTAATAAATACATGCTTTAAAATTTGAGTAATATTGTTCTGATCATTTGGTGATGATAATTTTATTTTAATTAGAGCTATTACATATTCTTTTAATGACCTGTTTTGTTTTGAATTTAGTGGTATGCAATCTGCATCAGTGATGTTGGAGATTATGAAGGAATCAAGACTAAAATTGCAAATGCATATGTTATCAAGGAACACTTCCAGGTATTGTAAATAAGCATTTTTTTAGTATGATAGCATCACTATATTTCATTTTCGAACAATGAATCATAGAATATTAGGGTTGGAAGAGACCTCAGGAGGTCATCTAGTCCAACCTCCTGCTCAAAGCAGGACCAACACCAACTAAATCATCCCAGCCAGGGCTTTGTCAAGCCGGGCTTTAAAAACCTCTAAGGATGGAGATTACACCACCTCCCTTGGTAACCCATTCCAGTGCTTTACCACCCTTCTAGTGAAATAGTATTTCCTAATATCCAACCTAGACCTCCCCCACTGCAACTTGAGACCATTACTCCTGTTCTGTCAACTGCCACCACTGAGAACAGCCGAGCTCCATCCTCTTTGGAACCCCCCTTCAGGTAGTTGAAGGCTGATCCCCCCTCACTCTTCTCTTCTGCAAACTAAATAACCCAGTTCCCTCAGCCGCTCCTCGTAAGTCATGTGCCTCAGCCCCCTTATAATTTTTGTTGCTCTCCACTGGACAATGCTCAAACCACTGAGCTATCCCTACACCACTTCTTTCTAAAAGTTGCAGCAAGGCCCTACTGTGCATCTTCCAGGAACACATAGTGGTGTCTGTCACGTTATGGGATGCAATCCAGACCAGTGAGCGGTTGTGTCACCACCTTTCCTGTAACTCTGGGTGCCTGAGATGCCCTGCTGCTGTGGTTCATGACCTGAATGTTAGCACACAAGCATGCAGGTCAAATGAAAAGAATATCTTTGTGTAGCTGTGAGCATTGTGTTCTTCAGTTGCTTTCCATTAAGATAAAAAATGTCTGAATAGAAGGTGAGGACTGTTGAACCCTATATGAGCTTCTGAAACTAGCAGAGTATATATAGGCTTGAGCTTTGCTATTGCGAAGTGAGTATATCATCTTAGAATGGTCTTTGGCTGCTGAGTATTGTCATGGGCTCTTTCAGTGCAAATTGCAGCTACTGAAGGCCAAATATTGGAGAAAATACAGCTCAGTAAAGACCTGCTGAGTCTTCACGTGATTTTACTTTCTCTCAGAAGCTGTATCAAAATCTTAACATACTGACATGATCAACCACTTGAAAAAAGCCAGCTGGCTTATTAGACATAAAGATAAGGAGCTCAGACTAGATTGTGAATACCAAATACTGTACCTCCCTGCGGTTGTTTGCATTTCACACAGATGAAATAGCAGGGGACAACTATGGGTGCATTTTTTTGGTGTTCTTAAGCCAGATCTGGTGAAACAACCTTTTACATCTTTTCTTTTTCTTGCTAGAAGGCCATTGAACTCAATCCTAAAGATGCTACCTCAATTCACCTTATGGGCATTTGGTAAGACTGATTATTTCTTCAAACCAGAGTTAGCTTGTGACAAAAAAGAAAAGAAAATGTTTGAGCAATGTTAAATGACTTGCAGAAATTTGTAGAGCAGCTAAATGGCTTGAAATCCACTCATGAAAATCTTTTGAAAATTGTCCTGAGTTATTTGAAAGAATCTGGCTATCCAAGTTTTAATATAACTCAGAAGATGAAACTATCTGCTCAGTGACCTTGTTTTAGTTCTAGTTCATTGGAATACAGAAGAATAAGTTGTAGACTTCAGTTTATTTTCACAGCAGGCACCAGAAATTGAGGACACTATTAATAGTGTTTCTGAGTGTCTGCCTCAGAGGTGTTGGGAGAGTCAAACCCGTAGTGCCTTTTACCACTGACTTCAAAAGAGCCAGAATTTAAAATTTAAATGTATACTATGATATGTGTACTGGTGCTTTCGAAGACTGGTGTGAGGGCAGATAGTACAGATTGATATTCTTAAACAAAAAGCTTACACTGTCATGCTATCTAAATATGCTATTACATTTTTAAGAACTCTCTGAATTTTTATTTACTTTAGCATTAATATGAGTCTGAAAATGTAGATGGAATGAGAATCAATCTGATTGTCACTGCCCATTACTGATGAATGGGAGGTGAAGAGCTGGGAATTTAACTTTAGTACAAACACCACATGTTATGCAGAAGCACCTTGGCTGGACATCTGGCACCTTTTCTCTGTCAGTGAGTGTGTGAGCACTAGATGCATCAGTCAGAGGAAAGCATATGAGAGAGAAGCTGTGAAGGAGAGAGAGAGAGAGAGCTAGCCTGGGAAATACAGGAGACAGAAAAAATCCATTCTACCAGTAAAATCGGGGCCAGCCGTGACCTGTATAACCACATGGGGGCTCCCTTTTCCCATTCCCATTGTCTCATTGCTTTTTCTGAAATGTTCTCACATGGTATCGAAAGCTTGTGGCATGTTTTGAGTCCAGATGCAGCACTTCCTCCTCCTTTTTGCAGATCTGTCAGAGAGCCCAAAGCCACTTCAGCCCTGTACAAGAAATCTTTAGAATGCCATAGTATGTCTACACTGAAAAAACCCACCAGTGGCAGTGAGTCACAGCCTGGGTCAGCTGACTTAGGCTCACGCTACTGAGTTAAAAGTACCAGTATAGACATTTCTGCTGGAGTGGGAGCCTGGGATCCGAGATCCACCCTTGTTACAGTGTCTCAGAGTCCAGGCTCCAGCCTGATCAGGAACATCTATACTGTTATTTTTAGTCCCACAGCATGAGCACCACAAACCAGAGTCAGTTGACCCAGGCTCGGAGACTCGCTGCCAAGTCTGGGTTTGTTTTTTTATTTTTCTGTGTAGAAGTACCCACAGAAGATGGTGAAAATGAAGAGGATAAGAATGGATTTGTAGAATCAGTTCCAAGTTCCACCAACTGCTCCTTGCTATGGCTTTATTTCTGGTCTCCCTTGGCAACCTAAAGCTCCAGCTTTCCCTGCTTGTCTTTCCTAAGTAACAGCCTGTCTGCACCACTAGCTCCAAAGTAGCCTGACTTCCTGGAATAGTCTGAGAACTTATTTTTCTAGGAGCAGAGGCAGCAACTGTTGCCACCCAGCACTCTGGGGGAGCCTACGGACCAGCTCTGAGGCAGCCTCTTGTCGTTCCGATGTCTAGAAGGGGTAGGGAATGCCCAGCTAGAACCCCATGAACCCGACTCAGTTGACCCAGGAAAACTGTAGGGAAAAGCTGAGAAGAGGGAATTGTGTGTCACTACTTGGGTAGTGAAGTGCTACCAAGTTGTATAGTTTTTGAAATGTTCTGAGAATTGGGAGTCCCTACATTCCTATCACAGATTTGGGATTAAAAATCTCAATCAATTATTGGATCAGTTCCTTCCTCTCGCTCCCCTTCTGTTTCGTCCTGCACTGGCATTGCGAGTGTTTGCCAATAGCATTCTACCAAGGCTTTGCTACTGTACACCATTTGGGTGTCTGCTTTTCAACACTCAGGCTTTAATAAGTTTCTAGACCTTTACCACATCTGTTCCCTCCCCATCCCCCAGAAATCAGGCTGCATATACATATGAGGAATTTCAAACATTGTTTTCTTAGCAAATCAAGGCTAATTGTGAATTCAAATGTGTTTCTGGAATATGGTGTTACAAACGTTATCAGTATCACATATGCTTCACTTTACTTGTTTAAAACTCTACAAATATTAATCCTTACAGTTTCCCCATAAGCAAGTAATGACTATTTCCATTTTGCAAATGGGGAAACTGAGGTAGGGAACAGGGACTTAGCCAACTGGCAGAGCCAGGATTAGAACTCAGAAGTTTGACTCACACTCCTGTGCTCATGACTGTAGAACATGTAGGCTCTCAAGAGTATTATTGTTTTGGGGTTTTTTTAATTAAGTAATCAAGAGGAGCAAGCTAATGTTTAGGTCAGGGTGTCATTATTCAGTTTTATATGGTTATTACAAAAATTTTCAAACGCACAAATGCATACAGTATATGGTTGAATCACTACAGTACAAGTCATAAGGCTGGATCTGGTTGGAGTGATAGCTTTAACTCCTTGATTTTTCTCAGTAAAATCAAGCTATAGGCTATATTGTAAACTTTGTGCTAAAAGTTGGATTTTTATCTTTATTATGCAATAGCGATTAGCAGCAATGGAGGCGCTAAACTTCTTTAGCAGAGTGGTTATGTCTTCTGCAACAATTGTTTCAATTTATTTTTAATTTAAGTATCTTATTGTTATTGTAACTACTGATTCAAAGACCAAGTAATATCATTGCAATTATTCACAATTGTGGGTTCTTGGCAGGATGACAAACTTTGACACTTGGGGGTCCTTCAACTCCCAAAAAGTAAGAACCTCCAAATAAAGGAGAAATGTGAAATATATAAAACCTTTTTGCTTTTGCTCCAGGTGTTACTCATTTGCTGAAATGCCATGGTACCAAAGCAAAATAGCTGCAATGCTATTTGCAACACCACCAACCTCCACGTATGAAGAGGTACTATATGCAAATACTTGTTCCCCATAGACTTTTCTTAGCAAAAATAAGAAGCCACTAACATGTTCTAGTAATAATTGTACTAATAAAGCTCACCTCCCAGAAGTGCTCAGAATGATGAACAATACAGGTGTAGTCATATACAAAATTGTACTTATGGATTAAATATAGATTTGAAGCTGATGAAGTTGCCTTGTTAGAAATATGCAAGATTCCATGTAAAAACAACAAACATTAATTCGTTTCTTTTCAAGTCAGGCCTCGCCTAGAACAGTCACAAAGTGACTAATGACATTATTATTTGGTAAATATCCTTTTGGACTGTGGGGCTCTGAAAGCTTGATATTAGATCCATAAGAAATACATGCAGAAACTAGGATGAAAGCCTCCAATTTATTTTCCATTGATGACATACAATAAAAAGGAGTTATCTTAGTTCATGAACCTATTGAACCACCTTCTCTCAAATTTGGATGATTTAATGAGATACACTCACAAGGGGCAGCTGAGAATTAATCTCCAAACCACCACATAGCACATAAAGTGGTGCATACTCAGAGACAGATTACCATTAGGACAGACCACAGATAATTGTCTGTCTAGGTTCCAATGCAGCTCTCTTCACCATGATATCTGAGCACCTACATATTATTTGACGTGATATTCAGTATTTTTATTTTCATTTCCTTCTATGAAAATAAAATGCTTCCCTCTGATTTTGTCATTTTTCATTAGCAAATATTTCATCTTCATCCTCATGACTGTTTAACTACTTGAGTTTTCCTCCAGATTGAACTTGAGGTATCTTTGTCCTCCACAGTCATGTGATTTTTGTTTTTTATATCATATTTTATTATATACATGTAAAGGTGCCCATCTTAATAAGATCTAGGAGCCAGTATTATTTCCCTCCTAGGTTTGGGTTGGTTTTTTTTGTTTGTTTTTGGTTGGTTTTTTTTGGTAATGTATGAAGAAACTGAGGTCCAGAGAGTTTAAGTGACTTGCCCGAGGTCACATAGAAAGTCTGTGTCATAACCATGACTACATCACAGTTCTTCTGACTCCAGGAGCTTTTAAGTACTAGAGCACATTGCCTGCTGTGTAAGGGCTTGCCCACACAAAGAGTGTGCGACAAGCTGGGATACAAATCTACCTCACACTTGCCTGAGATTCACTAAGTGTCGGTGTGGCGCATGCGGCCCTGTACTAGAAGGTGCCTACTTTGATTTCAAAGTGGGGTAGATCAAAGGGAATTTTTTTGTGCATGGCAACAGTGTCCACACAGACAGTGTGTGGCAGGCTAGTACAAGGTAGATTTGCTCCCCAGTTTGCTGTGCACTAAGTATTCATATAGACAAGCCCTCATATACTTAGGATAGTGGTGGCAGAATTGTTTTCAGCCTAATCCAGACATAAAGAATCTGTGACTGGCTTTTTTTTTTCTATTCAACTATATAACTTTGGTCAGAGTTAGCTTAGGGACCCCCAAAAAACTATTAAATTACACTAAATGTGTTACATTTTTAGTTGAATAACCTGGTTTTGAAAATCCCATCAGGCCTTGCTCTTAGTGAACAAATCTAAGTTCCTGCAGCTGTGTTCAAGTTTTCTGTTGGACAGGCAAATTTTTGGCCATAACCTCTACTAAATAATGTTTCTTTCTCTCCCCCCCCCCCCCCAAAGGCACTAGGAAAGCAGCTGCAAGAGATTTGCTGCCTTGCAGAAAGCTAATTTTTGTTGCTTGAGTTTTGATTGAAAAAGCAAATAAGCTTTTGCAACTGAAAATGAAGCTTATAAAGTAGCCACTAAATCTCACTCCTCAGAAGAATAAATCCAAAATGATAACCAGGATTTCATAGTACTGCTGAATTCTGCAAAACCAGGCACTGGGTTTTGTAGTACTTTAAAAATGAATAGAGTATTAAGTTGCTGAAAATAAATTTCTGCAACATCAGCACAAAGAGCATTTTGTGGATGCTTAGCGGCTTTTTCAAAAAATAGTTTTTAGACAATACTTTCCCTGTAGGTCATTAACATTGAGCAAAAATACTTAGTATGTGATGGCTGTTTATTAAATGAGATAGTGGTTCAGTCTAGCACAGTAATGACTAATGCCAACAAAAGTTGTAGTGAGGTGCTAAGCCAAGGAATAAATGGATGTATAGAAAGAAATACTCTCAGACCATTAGGGTTGGAGCACAGGAGCGTGATAGGGTGGAGAAGCTTGTATGGCCACTGTCAGTGCTGATCCTGTTGTGTGGGTAAGAAGGATTTCGGTCTTCAAGGCTGTCAACTTGGTACTTTTAAAAGCATTCTTCTGAGTGGTGAATTTAAAAACAAATATACATCTAGAATATATTTCTTCACTTGTTCTGAGATCAGTCCAACTTTGTGGTAGTTAAATATATATTATAAGGCTGTTTGTCTCTGTTTTCTGTTGACAGTAGATAACCAACAGTATCTCTTGATTTAAAAAACAAACAAACAGCCTTCTTGTACAGTTGGGTGTTCTCAGGAACAAATTGACTCTGTGGACTTAGTAATGCAATGCTGAATGACTTTTAACTTAGACTCTTATCTTTTCCAGGCCCTAAGTTACTTTCACAAGGCTGAAGAAGGTAATGTTTGTGTAGTTTGTTTGTAAGTAGAATGAGTCTCTTGCCCATGGTGATTCAAAACAAGCAAGCAAATACCCAGGGGTTAAACACGCAGTAGTATATGTACTGTTGAAACATAGGTTCAAGGTCCCTGGCCGCACCACTCAGCTCATTAGACCTAAATTATATGGCAAGCTTTTCCCTCTTCCCCCCTTTATGCAGCAGAGCTGTGTTGAATTATGATGTGATGATTTTAACCAATTGCATAGTTATTGGGGAACCTTCAGTTTGATTGAAATATTTCTAAAAATGCACTATATAGTGAAAAGTATGCATACCACTTGTAGCAATGCAATATTTCCAGTTATTTATGGTAGTTCCAGTGGGCAACATTTGAAAAAGCAAAGAACCAGTTCAGACAGTTTCTCTTTCTTACTCATGAGTAGAGCTAGTTGGGGAAAAAAATCTGCAAAAAGTCTTATTTTTCAACCAGCTGTACTTGTGCATGAAGTGAATTAGGAATTACATTGCTTCTCACCAGAAGCTGAATGAAAACTTTTCCTTTCCTTGCTTAAGGGTCAGCTTAAATACAACTGGGATAAAAGACTGTCTCCTGACAAAAGGAAATATTTTTGAATTTTTTCTCCCTGTTATCTGAAGTGGAGAAATAGTGGTTGGGCCCAGAGAGGGAATGATTTACCCAGTACAATCTGACTAGCAGCTCTGAATTGTAGCTTGCCCAATTGCAGCTAATTATTTAATCTGAGGCTTCTTTGAAAAGGTCTTTCCACCACAGCTAGAAAGACAGACCACTGACACCCGCAAAATATCCCCCCCCCCAAGTAAAAATATCCCTGAGAAAAATCAGCCAACAAATGAAAATATCCCACACAGGCTTTTTACCCCAAAAGAGAGGCAAGCCAGAACCACTAGGGACTCCACTATTGCTATCTTACGTAGAACATATTAATACTACAGTGATGGGCAGCCGCAGAAACCCCTAAAATAGATTATAGATAAAGCACTGAATTAGAAGTCTGTGAGAGAGTTAGTACAGGCAGGAGATTGGGATGGTGGATGCACAATTTTAGGAAGAAAATACCAAGAGCTGGCTATAAAGAGAATTTGGTTGTTTTTAAGTAATTGAGGGAACCTCTGTCCTGTGTTTCGGTTGGTGCCTGTTAGAATGCTTAAAAGATAAGATGTATCTTCTGTTTCTCTACTGTTTGACCTGCCACTTTAGCCTGTTAGCCTATGACTTGTCGCCCCTCTCCAGGAGTCTGTCTGCACTGCAATGTAAGCCCAGGGTTAGTAGAACTTGAGGTGTCAGACCTTGGCTTTGTTAACCTAGGGCTTGAGGGTCTGTACTGATTTATCACCCCAGGCTAGGAATTGTTGAGCCCTGGGTCCCAACCTGTGTGGGCTGGAGTCCACTGCCCATATTCCAGCCTTCCTAGCACCCTCCCAAAATGTGGCCACTCTGGCCCTTTGTGGGAAAACTTGACTGTCCAGGGGACAAAGAATGTCAGCCCATGGGATTATTGCGGGATACTTGTGGCAGACTCCGAGACCATGAGTCCAGTGTGGCTGCATCCACGTAGCAAAGCAGTAGGGTTGGCTTGAACCCTGAGTCCTGGCTTGACTCAGGTTTGGACCCTCACACATATGGGTTCTTGGGACCCTAGAACCAAGCCCTGAGTTAGCACGATTTGTGTGTAGACAGAAGGTGGGTTAGGCTTAAGCCTGAGTTTGAACCCTGGATTTATATTGCAGTGTACACATACCCTAGCTGGCTATTCGGTTTAACTTTGTGTGCAGATGCTAAGAGCTGCAGGAGAGAAGGTACTTAGCAGTTGCTGAGTTGTCTCTCTCACCCTCACCACTCCAGCTCTGAAAGAAGAGCTGAGTAGACTTGTGATCATTCTTGTTGTTATGCTGTCCTCATTCTGGATAAATCTCCCTGTTACTGCCTCCTGGCTCTTGTCCATTTAAGAGACCAAGCACAGGAAACTGATTGAATTCCCCTTAGTGCAGAAACCAAACAGAGAGACTGGATGAAGCCAAAAAACAGGATGTAGAGAAGCTGAAATGCAGAATGTGACCATGTTTTTGTGGATTTGTGTGACAAACAAGAATTTATGCAGTAGTTCGACAAAGTTAAATTACATGCCCATGTAACTTACTGTGTGGGGGTCCCTATCATATGTTTATAATCAGTAGGAAGAAGTATATCATTCAGTACTGCACGTTTGATACATGGCATCTTAGGTTTTTCCCTTTGAGTTGCTTTTTATTAATTCAAGCTCATGGAAGGGTTCATTATGTGAAAAAGTTATAGTTAAGTCAGCAAACATCACTGACATCAAATAAGCCAAATTTGTACTTGCAGCTATGGAGTTCAGTTTTGAAATTTGGGCCTTATCAAAGAAAAATAAGAATGAGGAGAATTATATACTCTTTTAAAAAGGAAGCCTGGCAAATATGAAGTGATTTTTTGATGGAAGTAAGAATGAGGCGGGCAGCAGGCCTAGTGGTTAGAACAGGGGACTGGAGTAGAACATCCTGGTTCTATTCCCAAGCCTGCTGCTGACTTGCTGTGTGATCTTAGGCAAGCTAACTCTTTCTACCTATTTCCCCATTTTATAAAGTGATGTTTGCCCTTCGGAGGAAAGGTGCATACAGTGGCCGCCTCTTAATAGCAATCCAGATCTTAACAATTTCTGGTTAATAGCAACATTTGGCTGAGAACCAATCCCGTCCCATTGGCGTTAATAGGATTTGGTTATTGACCACAGGGATGCCTCTTATTAAGAACTTTTTGACATGCCTTCCCTGGCTGCAGCCCCGCAAACATGCCTGCAGCTGGGAGGGGAGGTTGCAAGCAGGGAGGTAGTGGGGAGGAGAGGTGCAGCCCTCTTGCTGGAGCTTTCCATGAGGAGCAGGGGCCCACAGGGCTGCACTCTGCCTCTCTGTGCTCTCCAGCCTGCGCCCAGGCATGGCAGTGGGACCCTGGGTTCAGCAATTCCTTCCCAGGCTGCAGCCTCCCAAACCTTGTGGTTGCTGCCCTGCCCTCAGCCTCCCCTCCCAGCCACAGGCAGGTGTGCAGGGCTGCAGGGAGAGGTAGCATGCATGTCTTGGTGCTTCCGACCCTGGCTGCAGGCCAGCCAGCAGGTTTGTGGGGCTCCAGCCAGAGAAGCAAGTCCCAGCACTCCTTGCCCTGGCTGCAGCCCTGCAAACTTGCCTTCCATTTATTGGCAACCTTTGGATAAGAGAGACTTTTTGCTAGGAACCAAGAGGTTACTAATAAGTAGAATCTACTGTAATTTGTTGAATGTCATCATTATTCTCATCCCTGTAGGATACTTGGAGAAAACACTTTCTGCCCGGAAAGCTTATGTTGTAAAGTCTATGGCCCAAATAGAGACAGTGCACAGACAGCACAGGCCCTGAGGAGTGTTTGAACCGATCAAAATCCTCTCTTACAAGAGGAAAGGGGTTTTTTTTTGTTTCCCTTTTCTAAAAATACAGATTTCCATCAGTACTTTCTTTGATATTGTCAAAATTTTCTCCCCTCCTTCTCAGGCCTCAGCTGCACCAGTGTTACCTATGTGCAACTCACACACATGGCTCCTGGAGCGGAGGAGACAGTGTTACTGAAATGAGCGAGAAGCTCCCTTCTCTTGCACATGCTGAATTTGAGATAGGCCCACCTGGAGAGCATTGCAGCAATAGAGGCATAGGGAGAGGAGCCACTGATACTGGCTGTAAACTCCTTCTTTCCCTGTACTCCGGTGGCAAAATTAATTTCCATATCAATGTAAATTAACTGAGATAGCTGCAGAATTTGGGTTTGTTGGGCACCAGAGTACGCAGGGCCCAGCACAGCAAGTGAAAACTTTACATTTGTTCCAGTGTCAATGGTTCGCTCCTCTTTGAGCCCAAAATATAACTGCATTAAGTAGTTTGAAAGTGTAAATGTTTCAGCAAGTCACAATATATAGTGCTCTGGATTGTATGCCATGCTCACTACAGTTCTCATTTAAAGCGAGAAAGAATGTCTCAAGCCAGTGCACAATTGCTTTTTGTCTAAAATCAGTATAATGAGGCAAAAATATCTCCCTCTTCTGTCACTTTATATAGCTGATCCAAACTTCTACAGCAAAAACTTGCTGCTTTTGGGGAAGACGTACTTGAAGTTAAACAACAAAAAGATGGCCCTCTTGTGGCTAACAAAAACCAGGGATTATCCGGCACATACGGAGGAGGATAAACAGGTAGGAAAAATAATAAGAACTGCCATAATGTAAGTATGTGGAAACCAACATGCATGGCACTTTGGTGACTGAACATCTGTAAAAATAATTTGACTAAATTGTACTTCTGGAACTACTTTTGGATCGCATCCAGGCACCAACAAATCGTAATGCGTTAATAATTTCTCTGAATCTTTGCCTCTCGGACCAGTAATCTATTAAAACAAAAAAATGAGATTTTAGTGTATTAACTCTTGTCTAATCTTACTGCTCCTATTATAAATACCCAAGTTTTTGTTGGAGCTAAAGAGACGCTAAGATTCAAGAGTTTCTGTCAGAGAATGTACTACCACTAGGTATAGATAAGAGTTGTATGTTCAGCTGCTAAAGATAACAGGATTATCTCCTCAGGGCTCCAGGCAGTGTCTTATCTAGCAAACTCGTCTTTAAAGATACACATATCCTTGCCACCCCACCCCCAAAACCCCCCACAACTACTGAGAACTGTAAAGCTACATTCACTTAACTGTACAAACAGGATTCATCACAGAACAACCTAGTAGTAGGGCACTTTGAACAGGGAGCCTCTTGCAGAAATCTAATTTACAAGCAAAGAACAAACTTTCTTTTCTGCTGGAGGCTCCCAGAGTCTGATATATTATGAGTCTTGTTTAGCACTTAGCCTGGTGTCTGCAGGGAGAGCCTACTGTGACTAGATAAGCTTATTTGTCTCTCTCCTGAGTCATGGCACTCAGGACCTCTTGCTTTTGCATATAATCTGAGGAAGCACTGACATTTCAGTAGCATTTTGAAAGTACGGACTGAACCCCAGGAATGTTGGGAGATTTTCAGCATTGAAGTGGATTCCTGTCCAGCCCATGAAGTTGCTTTGAGTTTCATGGGTTCTGCTTAATTGTTAAGGGCTATAGAGGCCCTGGAGCAAAATATGCATTTCCATTGTAAAGGGATCACCGTCTACTTGTATGGGGTTAGCATGAGGAGGACAAAGATGTACCCTGTTAGTTCTGAACAATGGGAATGTTGGATAGGAAAGTCAGGACTGGATCCCAGTTAAAAACTTGAATGAATCAGTTTCAAGTGGCTATATCAAGATGAGAATTAAACACACACAACAGTGTGGCCTTCATTCTCATTGAGGGCTGTAAGGTGTGTAACCTCACACAGACTCAGAAGTTAAAAATTGTGAACAGTTTATTCCACAGTGTGCAACAAATTGCCACATGGCCGTGTGTATGCTGCACGCAACTACTAGTGTAAGTCCAGCTTCTTATAGCCAGGATTACTAAAGTTCTGAATGATGGAGTGGCAGGCCACGAGTCCCAGAAACACTGCTGACCTCACAAACTTTCCCGTTAGCTGTTTGTTGGCTCTGAAACATCTGACTTAGTTGCTGTCAGTGATGGGATAACAGATCCACCTGGTGCTGCTTTATTATGGCAGTTCCTGTAAGTAAGCGCTAATTGTTTCTGCTATTGTATATTTGACTTAAATACAATGAAGAGAGTTAGTGTGTATAGTAAATGAATGTTTAGAGAGGAAGTACTGCAGTTAAGGGACGAGGCTGAGAATCAGCAGAGGTCGAAGTTCCATTCATGGTTGTGCTATGAGGGTCCTGTATGATACTGGGTAAATCACTTAACTTCTATATCCTGGTTTCTACATCTTTAAGATAACACTTGTCTTACAGGGAATTGTGAGGCACTTGGATAGTATGGGCATAAGTGCTATAGAAAAGCTTGTAAATAATACCATTGTTTTGTTCGCCATCACATTTTTTTTTTTAATTTTAGGTACAGAAAGAAGCTGTGGAACTGCTCAATTCTATATGAAGAGAACTAAACTATTAAGAAGAAACTACATTAAATGTGACTAAAGCACAGGACAAAATACCTAGAGCTTGTTCTACTGTGGCTGTTATTAACATTAAACTTGTCACCTTACCACTGTATATCTTTAGTAAAAAAACTGCTGTCAACTACTAGATACATATGATGTAAACTGTAGAATACAGTGATTTCTATAAAAAGATATACCGAACAGCAAGAGTTCTCAAAGTGTGCTCTGCAGAATGACACATTGTTCTCAAAAACAACGAGGAGTCTGGTGGCACCTTAAAGACTAACATTTATTTGGACATAAGCTTTCGTAGGTAAAAAACCCACCTCTTCAGATGTTTTTGTGGATACAGACTAACATAGCTACCCCCTGATACTTGACACATGTTCTCAGAATATAGTGGGGAAATCTCATTTAATATTTGGCTAGGTGCTGCATGGGCAGAAGTAGATGGTATCTCTGCCCTGATCCCGCAAGCTGATGCATGGCCTAAGAAAATCTACAGTATATGAAGTCTGGAAGAGAAACAAACAATCAGATATATAATGTGTATAAAATTGAGTAAATACTAATTTTCCCACAGCTCTGTCATCATACAGTAGCTGACATGTATGTAGCCCTCTTAAAGGGAGGGGAAGGAAGAAACTAATAGCCATACATACTTCAGTTCAGGAAGGACATTTCAAGGCATGGTGTGGAAGAAAGCATTAAGTGTGAGCCTCTCGTGACCTTGTTGCTGGAGAGGAGGAAGGAACTGGAAGAAGCACTGTGATGAAGAGGACAGAATGGTGAAGGCCTTTGACAATGGACCACTGAATAAAAACTGGAGAAGCACTTACAAAAGCTGGTACATGTCTCAGGGGGACCTTAAATCTAACCTATTTGATAATGTTCCCTACCATACTCCTCCACCTTTCCGCATCATGCCAATTCAGTACAAAAACCCAGGTTTTGACACAAAATTCAGTGGATCATATGTTTAGTTTAAGATACTGCCTATTGTATTTTAAAAAAAACCACCACACTGTAGCATTTTTGCACCCAGTGAGGTGTGAAAAAGGGTTTTTGTTTCTGAGAATCAGGCAGTTGAAGCATTTGGTCCTGGGGAGGGAAAGTATCACACCATCCACTTCCTTAGCCCTGTGCCCCACCCCAAGTGGTGGGACTTGCTGCCACCTAAGGAAGGCAAGGAACCCTGGTCGCCAGTCTGAAGTTTCCACAAGCTGCCAGGTTCCACTGCCCTCCATGGTGCGGTGAGCACAGGCATGCACCTGGCTCGGTTCATGCACTTCTGGAACCTGTCCCTTTTGCAGTGAGAGGGAGACCCTGGTGTACATCTGCTTAAGGTGCACCAGGCTACAACTCCTCCAGAACCGCTTACTGAGGTTCTGGATGCACTTCTCCCTGCACCTCCTCATGCATACCGCATCCAGTTGTGGGACTTCATCAACTTTCTTCGGGCACTGCCCAAGATGGCTATCCACCATACCAGCAAGAGGAAACTCCAGAGTTCCATTCCAGATTCTAGAGCGGGGGAGGGAGTGTGCGCTACTGATTAGCCTTCTGCCCATCCTCCAACCCAAAGCCTGTCTTTTTCCCCACACCACCCAAACCAAGCTCCTATTTTCTGCATCCACAACTATATGCCCCCAGACCTCCCCCCACTGTCTCCAACTGCTTCTGCCCAGTCTCTGGTTCCCGCATGTCTCATTTCACTCCTTTGCATTCTAAGTCAGGCACCTTCCTCCTTGGAAACCAGCAGGTGCAGCATTGAGAGCCCAAGAGAGTCTCTTCTCTCATTTCTGGCGCCCAGCATCACAGAGGCCTGAAACAGTCACTGCAGCCCCAGGATACAGCATGCAAAGTTCTCTCTCTCTCACACACACACCCACACCCACCCACCCTTCAGGCAGTTAAGCCGCCAAGTTTTAACAAGTATCTACTGAGTATGTGCAAACAGATTTTTCAGAGGCTCATAATCTGGCCAAAGTAGGGAAGATTTTCACAGGTATGGCAAAAGGCACATCTCTCTGACACCAGGGTGACCCCCCCTCTCCCCAGCCAAATTCCGACTCCCATCTCTGAAGTATGTAGATGCTGGAGCTTCTTAAAAAAAAAAAAAAATCTAACAACCAATTCATTAACATGAGCAAAACAAGACATTTTCCCCTTAATTTCATTCTCTGAAACAGATGAACACTTTTGCTGAAATTTTCCAAAAAATGCAAAGGCAGACACCCAGCATGGAACATTTCAGCCTGAACAGCTAAAGTTTGACACAGTTATAAGCCGCTGAAAACAGGGGTTTTACAAATTAAAAGCATCAGGCAACCTTAACTGTAGCTGTCAGGATATGCACTGCTTATAGTAATTTTTACAATCAGTAACATGGGAGTAGGTGGGAGGCAGTTAATACCTTGCTCATAATAATTATAAAATACCTAGTGCTTTACAAAGGAGGTAAATGAAGGTTACTTCTAACTGGAGTTCTTTGCAATGGACTCTGCATATTCACACTCTTGGGATGCACTGACCCAGTGCAGCAAGACAGTGGAACTTTCTAATAGCAGTGCCTGTTAGGAGCATCTCACCCCTCCATTTCCTCTCCCACCCACAGTTCTTGAGTGTGCTCAGGGGGGTGACTATAGGAGGGGTGTTGGCGCCACTGTCACCTCAGTTCCTTCCAACCACTAGAGCACAATACAAATTAATTACCAAAGTAGGACTGCAGGAGTGGGGAAGGTGGATGGGGAGTGGGAATATGCAGAGTCAGTCTCAAAGAACTCTGGTTACAAGTAACCTTTGTTTCTTCTGAGTGTCCTCTGAATATTCCCAGTTTTGGAAGAGTTTGACAAGCAGGACATCAACAAAGGAAGAAGACTGTGGAGTCTTAGGTGAACAATGATTGAAGTACTGCTCTACCAAATTGAGCATCAGGTCTAGATTCCAGATTTAAAACAATGTCTTGTAAAATCATGAATTGTATTACATGTAGCAGCCTTGCAAATTTCAATAAGAGGAATATACATATGGAATGCTGCAGATGTAGCCATTCCTCTAGTAGGATAAGCTCTAAGAGTGTCACACCCCAATGGCCCCCTCCCTCAGGGAGTCCCCGCGGAAGGCAGATCAGCATTGTACATGGCTAATGCTGTTGCAAGCATCGCAAAGCATTGTGGGGAGGGTTAAAGGTGTGTGAATGAGGAGTGGAAGTTTCCTTTACAGGTACAAAAGGCCGGGAGAGAGGGGGAAGAGAGTAGAGAACGGGTTAACTCAACATTTTAGCTAGCTTAGTCAGAAGTTAAGACGCCCAGCCGCCCAAGGACACCTCACAGCCGAGACTTGACTGTGAGCTGAGAAAGACGGGGGCTTGAAAGTTGCCCAAGTGGCCGTGAGAAAGAAAATCCAACTATACAGACCTGCACCTGCAAAAATAGCAGCGAAAACAGTTTGAGCAAGGGAAACGGCACCAATAGAAGGGAAAAAAACAGTCTCCGGCGCTGGGATGTTTTGGGAACCCGAGGAGGCCACAGCAAGCCTGTCTGGACTGGTACACAGAGCATGAGGAACAAAGGTCCTGAAGGAGACGCCCCCAAGAGACCCCAGGACTTAAAACCCTCCTGAGAGCTGGAGCAACTCGGAGATTACAGCGGATTCCCCGGACGACCTGGGCCCAGGGCAAGAACTCCCCTCCACCCCTCTTCTTCTTACGTTACACCCAGGCCTGGCCAGCCGTGGGTCAGGCGTGTGAGAGTATGGAAGTGGGTTAGGGCTTGGGGCTCTAATGCTTTCTTTCTTCCCCTGAGTGACGTGGGAGCATTCCCAGCACTCTCTGCTGTATTTTATTATTTTATTAATAAAGCTTTAAAATTTAAACACTTGGTGTATTACGTCATCTCCTCCCCAAACGATCCTGCGGCGTCAGCCTGATCACCTGACACTCCAGGCAGATTGGTAACGAAAATCTGTCACAAGAGGACCTGGTGAAAAACAAGAAGCTGCTCTACAATACTTTTCAAACCCAAGCCTGACCCGCCTTGATAGGGACTGAGCCAAAATAGTTTGACCTTTCAAAAAGCACTGATATATGAAACAAATAACTTAGGAGATGACCTAAAATCATACTAAATAATGAGAAAGCACTCTTTTGGCATCAAAAGAATATAATCTAGGATCCCCTTCTATGAAGTTTAGGATAAACACAGGTAAATTTATACTCTGATTAACATGGAACTCAGAAACAACTTTGGAAAGAATTTAGGATGTGACCTAAGAACCATTTTGTCTTTATGCAAAGTAGTATTTCTTCTAGCAAAAGTGATTGCTGTTATAAAGGCTGTTTTTATAGAAAGATGAAATAGGGAACAATCCCATAACAGCTCAAATGGGAAAGACACGAGTTAATACTAAATTCAAATTCCATGTAGTGATTGGGTCACAAACAGGATAAAGATTCAATAAGCCTTTTAAAGAGTTTTTCACCAGCTTGTGAGAAAATGGATTTACCTTTAGTATGAGTACAGACTGATGGAATAGCCGCTAGATGAGCTTTAACAGAGGATATAGACAGGCCCTATTTTTAAGTGCAGCAGATTTACCAAGATCAGTTGAGTAGGGGCTGAAACTGGGTCCACATTTCTATTAGCTGCCCATTTTATGAATCTTTTCCATTTAAAATCATAACTTCTCCAGGGTAGAAGGTTTTCTAGCATTAATGTGAATTCGCTGAACCTCAGTGAAACATGACTTTTCTAGTTCTCTCAAAGTCCTATCATCCAAGTTATTAGATGTAGTCATGTGAGACTTTCCCCTCCTGTTGTGATAGCACATCTGTTGACAACTGCAGCCACTTGTGTTTGCCACTGGAGTAGCTCGGTGTACTACTGTTGTCTCAGCCATGCTGGAGCAATTAAGATAATCCGGATGGAATCTTGTTTTATTTTCTTTAGAACTTTGTGAATTAGAGGGAACTGGGGAAATGCATACAAGACCCTTTCCTCAATCTAAGAGTAATGCATCTGTCAATGACTGACTGATCCTGCTCTTGAGCAAAACCAGGGACATTTCACATTGAGTCTGGTGGCAAACAGATTTACAACTGGAAACCCCCAATAGTTGAAGATAGTCTATATTACTGAATCC